AAGACATCACCTGCACGTGGTGGTGATAAGAAGACATCACCTGCACGTGGTGGTGATAAGAAGACATCACCTGCACGTGGTGGTGATAAGACATCACCTGCACGTGGTGGTGATAAGACATCACCTGCAGGTGGTGATAAGAAGACTCACCACCTGCACGTGGTGGTGATAAGAAGACTCACCACCTGCACGTGGTGGTGAACGCCTCTTGATTGCAGAAATATTTTATATAGGCAATGGAAAATGACATTAGGAACCTATACTAAACGACAGGCACAATAATCAACAACATCTAGGTAGCTAGATTATTAATTATTATAAAAATTATTATATTATTATGGTTACCAGTATTATATTATTATGATTATTATTTTATTATGATTATTATTTTATTATGATTAATATATTATTATTGTTATTTAGGAAAGAGCAATTTCTGCCAACCTTAATGATCAATGCCACAGCAGCCATGTGGTGGCATCTCACCTTCTGCTTGCCACAGCAGCCATGCGGTGGCATCTCACCTTCTNAAATTTCAGTCATTTGTGAACAAAATTGTAGTAAAAGCCTCAACAAATAATGACTTTCAAAACCAAATTCTTTTAAATAAAATGGCTAGATATTAAAGACAGCAAGTGAAGCGTACAAAAATAGTATTTATAAAGTTTCTTTTATCATCTTGAAGCTTTAATAGTCTTTGATAATGAGAAATTTGCACTTTCATAAATAACATCACAGAAGCAAAAATTTTAAAATAGATGTTAAGCATAAACTGTACAATAGGTATATTATATTATATTACATTGGACATAAACTTTATATTGTAGATATTAAATACTTATATAAACATGTTCCAAGTAACATAGTTAATATAATAGACAATAGACATTAATATACCTACAGTTTATGTTTAAAGTATGAATTGAAACTTCATAGAAATCAACTAGTTGAAGAATGTACCCGGTAGAAGTTTTAAGTTTTAAACTGCATTAGTTTAAATTAAATATAGTTTGCATTAGTTAAAGGATACTTATAATACAATATATTATATTACATTGGACATAAACTACATATTGCAGATATTAAATACTTCTATAAACATTTTTCAAATTAAGTTAATATAAAAGCCAATAGACAATAATAGAGTACAGTTTATGTTTAAAGTATGAATTGAAACTTCATAGAAATCAACTTATTGAAGAATATACCAGGTAGAAATTTTAAATATTTTAACTAGAAAATTTAATATATTTTTTATTTAAATTTTAAATTTTTAACGTTTTAAACTGCATTAGTTTAAATTAAATATAGTTTGCATTAGTTAAAGGATACTTATAATTTCATCATAGACATATCCCGGACATGGAGTGTCATTGTCGGCTGTAGCCTTGTGAAGAAGAGGAAACTGAAATAAATAAAATTAAAAAGAAATTTGAGTACTTGCACAAGTTGGATACCATCATTCTCATTGAAATGAAACTAATAATTGATAAAGCAAGTATTTTTATAGGTACCTACTATTTAATACTCAGGAATAGGCACATTACCTGACATGTTATAGACCTATATATACATACCTAATACTGTAAAAATTATGTTCCTAAAAGATACCTAGGTAACTTATTAAGAATCAAATACTAATAAGAACAGGAAGAAAGTATTGGTAAATAATTGGCAAATAAGCCATTAACAGCACTGGGTTGTTTGGTCATGTTCCTGTATGTGGAATGCAACAATTGAGAGACCGACAGTTAGATGAAGCCTACAGCATCCAAGTTTTGACTTGAGATTAATATTTGTATAGTACAGTAACTAAATTAACACATTATATACATATAATAACAATATAAGTTCATAATAAAATAAGTTTGACTGTCTTGTTGCATGATTCCAACTAGAACAATAATTTCCAGTACCGGTATTCTAAATAAATTTATAACAAACAAAAATATTTATAAAATGCTATTCTATCATGGTATACATATATTATGAATATCAATAAGTCTATATATAAATATATACTACAGTGTTAGGATAGAGCTTTAATAATTTAATATGGAAATAAAAATTTATTTATACAAAATGATGGTTCTTTCTACAAAGTATTTCTAATTTTTACAAGCAATACTCACATAAGAAGCAAAGTTTACAGCTGTTTGAGCTCCTTTTAAAATCTCCATGTTGTCCAACTAATTCTTAATCACTTTAGAACTGTAAATATCAAAATAAAGAATATTACACAAAAGATAACACAAAAACAAATATTTTTATTCACTTCAAATTAGATTTCACAATAAGTTAGCAAGTAATGTGCTCAGTGTAGTTTTCCATTAATTTCATTAATAAATAACATTTAGTAGCCAGACTTAATAATTCACTCTAGCATTTAGTGCATGTACTTTGGTTGTTGCGGGCTGGATCAATCAATTATTGTTTCGAAAATAATAATATTTTACAGGGCATCTGAAATTAAATCAACTTTAAATAGACCTATTCAATTTAATATTGTTGTGGTAAATCAATGTTAATTCAACATTGTTTCAACATCCTTTGACTGGTGGCATGTACATCCTTTAAAAGCATTCACATTAACTTATCAACTAGTGACATGGTCACATGGAGCCCTCTTTATCTGTGTTTACCTTCAAGTTTTTTACTTTCAAAATATAAAGATTAATGATATCAATTGGAATAGATAATATATAGAATATATAAACTACTACAACTTATATCAAACATGTTCAGTAAGGGCTTGGCAAGAGTAGGTACGGTACTTTGAAACCTGCAACCTACTTTATTTATTTCAGTATGTTTAGTAGGTAGGTTCTAATTTAGATTAATCTGTAGATATAAACATGACAGTGGTTGAAAGTTCAAATGTAGTAATTATCCAGTTAGTTCAGCCAGTTCAGCCATAGTTCTCATTGGGCAGTTTTGGCCCTTGGTTAGCAAATACCAGTCTAAGACAAATTCAAAATTTGCTATGAAATAAAGGCATAGCAAAAAAATTTACAAAATACAGCTCAAAAACCTTATGGCTTATAAAATGGATTCATGGCTAAAAAATGTAGCTCCTACCAGGTACCAGCTATGGTAGTGCCGTTTGACAAGGCCACTAAATTTGGCTACAGAATTTAACTTCAAATCTTGCTGGTCTGCAAAGATATGATCTATTTTGTTAACAAAACTAAAACATAAGCCATAACTCTCTAGTTTCTGGCAGCATAAAAAAATCTCTATACATGGTATTAATTGGTATAACTTATATGGCAAACTGGCAACCAAAGTCCAAACCCCAACATGAAATATGGGCAGAAGTTTCCTAAAGTTGCTGGAGAAAATAACAATTTCATAGATTTTTTAAATAGGCATTTTGCTTGTATTACACTTAAAAAATTCTGAGAGGGCAATAAGAACAGGTGAAAGTTGCCAGATTAGGAGGGCATTTTTGTCCAATTCATGGGTGCGTGTGGGCGTGGCTTCTGCTAAGTTTTCCACTTTAGGCTACTTGGCTTGGGCAGTTGCAGTTGGGCCTCCATGCCACATTGGCACATGGTGCTGGTGGCGGCCGCCGGCCGGTGCATATGCTATATTTCACTAGCACCCATAATAACATATGGCACCCACACCATATTGGCACATATGAGTTATGATCACATTCACCAGCTCTGGCAGCCCGGTGGACGGTGGTCTACTCATATCCACTCATAGTGGCAAAGCAGAGAGTTTTTTAGACTCTCCCTCAAGTTCGTTTTTGAGTCCTATAAGTAGACCAGGAAAGTATCATGGATACCAGCACCATCATACATAAGAAATCAGTTTAAATCTGGGGTATATGAGGAAATTAAAAATGAACTGATTCTAAAAAATCTCTGGTTTGTCACTATGATCCACATTCCACAGCTCCGATCTACATTCTATTAGTGTAAAAATAGTGATTTCTACCACTAAGACTAATAGCTAATCCACTATTATATTTTTTTATGTACTGGTTGCATTGTTCATTTTTGCAAGTTAACTGCAGTAGCTGCTTTATGCCTGCTTAGTATTAGTACTTTAGTAGTACAGTATGTAGTACCGTAAGTTACTCGTACAAGTTTCACGAATTGAGAGCGTTACTTACCAAGTTAGAACTCGTAAAACTATTTCGCTCCTGAATCACTGTCAATCACTCAATGGTCACGTTACTCAAAGTAATTACGCACAGTCTGTTATTTATTACAGTCAGACTCAGTCACAAGGCCCAAGGGGCACGGGCACGGTCATCTTTGGAGTTTGGACAATACCTTCCTATTCTTTCAAGCCATTTCTAGCACATTGAACAAGTAACCCTTCTAAAATACCAATTTTCTTGTTTCCCTAGAACTAATTCAAGGGCATTGCGGTTGTTAAAAACTGGATGGTGAAGGCTGGACTCAGGATCTCATCGTCATTCGTCACAAGCAACACAAGAAAATTAATTTCCAGACGAACTATTTACAAGTGAACTTTTTCCGTTAACGCAGAAAATTGAAATGAAAAAATGTTAATCTATTTCAACGTTTAATTTAATGCTAAACTTCATAAAATAATTATAAAAATCCTCAAACAACCTCAAGATACGTATGGATAACTTGATGTCAGATACATTCAGTGAATTGCTTCCAATTTATCTAACTGAAGAATTAGGTCATTCGGCTCATATGACCCTCGTAAAAATATATTCTAATTTGAACTTTAATTTCCTTATGTCAATGAAAAAATTATATTTGATTTTTTCGCGGGATTTTTAATTAAATTTTATGATACCTGGCATTTAAGAAGGCCACTTGAAGCTGCTTACGCGAATCGACGAAAATAAAAGTAAAATCAGGCAACGCAGCCCTTATTCGTTTAACATCAAGAAGCATCGTACATTCATCGTATTCGTTTCACATCAAGAAGTATCGTAATTCCGTACATTTTAGTGCACATGATACCATAAAATAATTGAACCCTGTACTGTCTCTCATACGCCATTGTACAACATTGTTCTGTACAGACATTATATTGTACAGATAGGCACACTGCTCGCTGCAGTGTGGTTTTATTTATTTATTTTTACTTTTTTCATTTTTTTCTATTTTGCAGCACGCTGCGCGAATTAAAAGTTTTTATTCAGCTCACATTAACAGCCTGAGGTTGTAATATGCAGTTTAGCCAATCCAGGAGCCCATGCATTGGCACCATAAAAACTGTCGTACACTACGCACTCGAGTCCCAACCCACCTTGCTCAAATATGCCCAGTCCGCCAGATCCAGTTTTTTCCGTTCACAAACTTCCCAGGCTGCAAATTTTCTTCCTGAACCATAGCAAGGACATCGCGCGGATTTTTTACGTCATTCTTAGACGATAACTCGTGGAAATAGCACCTCTTCATTAACTGCTCCACGCATATTTGAATTTGACTCACTCTGTACAGAACTAAACATGAAGGTGGGTCAAGAAAGTATTGCGGTATTTGGTTACCATTCGTTATTATAATAGTTATTATAATTATATATATAATTATTTAATTTTTCCGCCACTTAGTGCGCAGTTTACGCAATCACGGTTTGATTTTTGCCCTTATTTTCAAGATAAGGATAACATATTTCGTAAAGACCTACCCTAGGGCACGACAAATTAATTTTTTTCCTACTAATTTCTATTTGTTCAAATGTTTTTAGCAACTTTTTTTGCGTTCAGACATTCCCCTTTCTCTAAAGTGTAGATGTGAAGATATGTAACCATATTGCGGGCATGAGGCTTGTAATAAACTCAGATTTTTTATAATTGAACTAAATCTACCCGAGGTGCAAGATGATCGATTAATGGCAGAAAATGATGCGACATGTCCTGTTAATTAAGTGCGATCCGCTGTAAAGAATCTTAAACTAATAATTTTCAAAATGGCTTATGAGTATCAGTGGAATGTGGCTTCGTAGAGCCATTGCAGGAGTGGCTTAAGAGTATCAGTGGAATGCGGCTTGGAAGAGCCTTGCAGGAGTGGCTTAAGAGTATCAGTGGATCGTGGCTTGGAAGAGCCATTGCAGGAGTGGCTTAANTGTTATGTTATGTTATGTTATGTTATGTTATGTTATGTTATGTTATGTTATGTTATGTTATGTTATGTTATGTTATGTTATGTTATGTTATGTTATGTATCAGTGATTTAACATAGTGATCTCGGCGCTAAAGTGTAGGCCTGATGTGGCCTGTCGCCGATTCATTTACTTTTCGTGACTTGTTCACTGGATATTTTATCAATAAATTCGAGAGAAATTCGCCTCCATTGTTACATTAACATTGCTTATACAAATTCACAGAAGATCTAATCGTGTCATTTGACCGGATTTTTTTTAAGACTGACGATAGTTTGAAGTAGCTACTAGACTTCCGCCGGGTTCGATATGGTGCTAGGCGTTTCAATTCTGAACATTTCTTTTCGTATTCATCCGCTCTCTGCTCGTGTTTGTGTAGTAGAGTGTATACCAATTTGGACATTGACGCCAAACTATTTTCCATGAAGAATGGAATGGTAAAATACTTCACCTAGCCTAACCTGCTTTAGTTTTCATTAAAATATATAGCACGATGACGTCTCTGCACTGCCACTGCACATTCAGAAAAATAGGTCATGTTTTTCCGAATAGTGACACATTTTCCGTACGTAAGAGCCATTGCAGGAGTGGCTTGTGAGTATCAGCTTGCGGTTCGAGACCACAACAAGCTGTGAATGTTCTGCGATGTTAAGAACCGGCGACAGGCCTACGGCCTAATAAACGCTGAAACCGCTATTATTATTATTATTATTATTATTATTATTATTATTATTATTATTATTATTATTATTATTATTATTATTATTATTATTATTATTATTATTATTATTATTATTATTATTATTATTATTATTATTATTATTATTATTATTATTATTATTATTATTATTATTATTATTATTATTATTATTATTATTATTATTATTATTATTATTATTATTATTATTATTATTATTATTATTATTATTATTATTATTATTATTATTATTATTATTATTATTATTATTATTNGGGGCCATACTTTCAAAACTCGCTAAGTGAACGTAAGTACTTACGCTCTATTTTCATGTCTATGATTGGTGGATTTTGCTTGAAAGGCCGTCAATGATTGGCTGATGAACTTACGATCTATTAACTTTTTTGAAAGTATGGGCCCTGGTCAACACTGTATTGGTTAGGAAAATACGTGTAAATTTCGATTACAATCCTTCACCTTGGGCAGTTTGGTTGTCCAGTGATATTGAATGTTGGATGCCCCGTGTCTGGGTCGATATAATCGTAGAAATATTGTATCAGTATTATAATATTGTTTATTAATAATTGTGTATTATATAATGTATTAAATTGGTCGCGTAATGGGAATAATCCCATATTTGTAACATTAGTGTAGAGATGACAGCTTAAAATTATTTCATTGCGTTTATAAAAGACATTAATTGCACATTCTCAGTGGCCGTACAACATTCATGTTCTGCAACACCAAGCGGCAGTGCAACATTCATGTTCTGCAACACCAAGCGGCAGTGCAACATTCATGTTCTGCAACCGGTTTTTCCCAACAGGTTTGAGCCGCAAGCTCCTGCGAGTCGCTGGCTGCTGCGTGCTCATAAAATACATTTTCTAGAAAAAATTCCTTGATTTTCCGTGGTTTCATTTTTAGTATTATAATAATCGTCGTTTTTGTTCAGAGGGCATTCTGAACAAAAAATTATTTTGAAAAAAATGTGTGGAGTTTTTTCAAGTTCATGCTAAAGTAATGAAGTTATGTTAAATATGGAATATATTTCTTAGTTTTTAACTCTCATTGATGTTACAGATCCTGCTGCTGCTGCTGATGGCTGCCACCGCCTGCCATGCCACTGCCACATCTCCTGATGTCAGCTCTGTTGATGTTACAGGCCCTCCTGCTGCTGCTGATGGCTGCCACCGCCTGCCATGCCACTGCCACATCTCCTGATGTCAGCTCTGTTGATGTTACAGACCCTCCTGCTGCTGCTGATGGCTGCCACCGCCTGCCATGCCACTGCCACATCTCCTGATGTCAGCTCTGTTGATGTTACAGGCCCTCCTGCTGCTGCTGATGGCTGCCACCGCCTGCCATGCCACTGCCACATCTCCTGATGTCAGCTCTGTTGATGTTACAGGCCCTCCTGCTGCTGCTGATGGCTGCCACCGCCTGCCATGCCACTGCCACATCTCCTGACGTCAGTTTTTTGATGTTACAGGCCCTGCTGCTGCTGCTGCTGATGGCTGCCACTGCTTGCCATGCCGCTGCCACATCTCCTGATGTCAGCTCTGTTGATGTTACAGGCCCTGCTGCTGCTGCTGATGGCTGCCACCGCCTGCCATGCCACTGCCACATCTCCTGATGTCAGCTCTGTTGATGTTACAGGCCCTCCTGCTGCTGCTGATGGCTGCCACCGCCTGCCATGCCACTGCCACATCTCCTGACGNTGAGGGGTCTGGCCCTCAGAGGGCATCAGGTGAGGGGCCTGGCCCTCAGAGGGCACCAGGTGAGGGGCCTGGCCCTCAGAGGGCATCAGGTGAGGGGCCTGGCCCTCAGAGGGCATCAGGTGAGAAGCCTTGCCCTCAGAGGGCATCAGGTGAGGGGCCTGGCCCTCAGAGGGCATCAGGTGAGAGGCCTTGCCCTCAGAGGGCATCAGGTGAGGGGCCTGGCCCTCAGAGGCCATCAGGTGAGGGGCCTCGCCCTCAGAGGGCATCGCCGATGAAGGCGTTTCTTATTATATATTAATGATTAGTTTTGATGAACGTACATTCTAAGTCTCAATATTCATCAATATTATTAATCATATTTTGTTATAGTGACCTGGGAGCTGAGTTACGACGTCGTATTTATTAGTACTTACATTATAAGTCTGCTTATATCGCATGTACACAAGGAATTTAAGGGGAGCGTCTCGGTCGCGGAAAAACTTTTTTATTTATAGACGGATCACTTTGAAACTTGTTCCATATATGTAAAACAGAAATCTAAGAACTTTTTGTTCGAGTCAATTTTTCGAAAAAATGGAAGAAAACGTGAAATTCATAGAAAACGGAAAAAGGGGGTACTTTAAAAATCTATCTCCTCCTACAAATATCGTGCTACAACATCGAGACACGTACCATTCGATTTGTAAAGACCATATCTAAAAAATTACTTTTCTCGTTTTTCCAAATTTTGATTTTTGTTGGTGGGGAGGGGGATTTTTTGTCATTTTTTCGATTTTTCCCCCCTCCGCCCCCCTTTTTTTGCAAAATATAATCCAAACTATATCGAAATCGACAAAAGTACAAACATCATTTTGTAGAGCTTCAATTTAAGAATCGAACGGTATATCTCTCATTGCTATAGCTTGAAAATCATAGAAGGAGATAGATTTCTAAGATGAAAATGGCAACTTTTCAGGAGAGCCGATAAACCGCCGACTGGCGGCGCGCTCGCTATGTAAAGGCACATAACGTAGTTTGGATACCAAAAGTGCGCGTTATTTCACTCTGAAGTCTCTCAGCGATGCAGAGAACGACTGGACTGCATGCACACCTTCCAGCATGACAGCTCGTGGCTGACTGAGCTGCGAGGCGACAGACTGCACATATATAGGCCCCAGACGGAATTATTCTCATAGGGTTTTGTTAAATGGCTCCACCACCCCCACCCTTCGGGATCTGTCGTGAACGCATAAATCAACGTACAGAGATGGTTTTGGTACATTTGAATAGGTCAGAATGTCAGCTTTAAGATGAGACTAAAAACCGGAAAAGCCAAAATTGTCTATTATGGACCAAGACGCTCCCCTTAAAAGCAAAGAAAACGCCAAACAAATTGAAGGAGGTTGAACGCAACGCATCTCTGCAATATCGATATGGTGAATTTGCTTGGCGTTTTCTTTGCTTTTAAATTCCTTCTCGTATTTATTGCTATTTATTGTTATTCTTGTTCAGGTGACGATGTTGAGCGAGCCCCGATGGACACAACGTCACCCCAACATCACGTATGTGGACCATGGGACAACCCTCACGTCACCTGACATGTTATCCACTTTTGACTGCGCCTTTGACCCAGCTAAACTCCTCGACCTCATCATGACTAACCTCGAGGAATTGTCCAATGACCTCTTCGACGACCCCATCGTCCAGGACCTTTACGCAAAGAGAAAGCAGTTTGACATCATCGTCTTTGACCAGATGATGTTCATGGTGAGTCATTCTTGTGGCATCATGTTCATTGTAAGTTCATTGTTCTAATACTTGACCATTAACAATGGTTATCAATCAACCATTAACAAGGTATTAATATAACCAACCAGCATTGTGGAGCTTGGCGGACAATGCTGGGCACTGGATTATGCAAACAAAATATGATGTTATGATTGGTAAAAGTAAATTCCTCGGCCTGTTGTGGCGAGGGCAAACCGCACTAGCTCCGACCCAGTGAAAATTTGCGGACGCGGCAGCTTCTGATTTGGATTACCAGAAGCTGGGGCGACTCTAAATTTTGTTAAGGGAACGGCGTGGAGCCGACATAACAGGCACGTATCGGGCATATAACCGGCACGTAGCCAACGTGCATTCGGCACGTATTACCGGGCGCGTAGCCAGCACGTGTTAGGCATGTCCCCAGCACATAAGTGGTACTTTATATGCATGTAACAAGCACATAACCGGTACGTAATAGGCCTGTGACAAGCCATAACCGGTTTGTAACAAGCCTTAATCGGTACGTAACCAGCACATAATTGGTTAGTAACCAGCACATAAGCGGTACGTATCAAGCACCCAACCGGCACGTAAACGGAACGTAACCGGCACGTAAACGGCACTTGACTTGACGCGAAATTAGGCTCGTCGATTGCTTCAAACTACCCATGGAGACAGATTTCGGAGCAAATCGGCAAGGAGGCCGGGCGGTTAAGCACAGCAGAATTGTAGCAGTGAGTTGCGAGTTCGAGACCGCAACAAGCTGTGAATGTTTTGCGATGTTAAGAATCGGCGACAGGCTTACGGTCTACTAAACGCTGAAACCGCTATTATTATTATTATTATTATTAGTATTATTATATACCCCACAGGCGCCGTAAGCAATCATATAGTACAACCATGTAATACCCGTACTACGTAAGCCTCTTTTCACCAAGGAAGTGACGGTGAAACAATTTTTAATCAACCTGATTTCAAAGTCAGATGCCTGATGGGTATCCGGTTTGTATTAAAATATACCAGTTATATCATTTAGTATATTCCATTGCTAAATTCCACCACATTTGCTGTAATTGTCCGATTGCAGGTCGTATACCTGTTTCATAATAAGCAATTCTTAATATAATATATAATAAATTGTATATATATATATAATATGTAATATATAATATATGTAAAAGACAATATAATATATTGTCTCGAAAATAAGTGTCAGAGCTCATTGTATTAAGCTCTACCTGAGGAGCGGGTTCGTTGACTAAAGTAGTGAGGGATAAGTAAGACTCATGTGTCTGATAACATATCTTGTATACGGGGTGGTAATACAGGAGTACGATACAGAGGCATAAGCTAACGGCGTCGACCGTAAGACCGTAAGGTCGGAGAGCCGAACGACACGTGATATCGAGCGCTTATCGACTGCAAGGGTTTTTCGGGGTTTTAAAGCTAAACCCATGGTTTTAAAACCACAGAATAAGGGTTTTTCGGGGTTTTAAAGCCAAACCCATGGTTTTAAAACCATACTTACTTAAAGTTGCTAGCCCTTATATAGCTTTCGCTTCCGCCCACAACTAAGGTCTTGATCGCGTGATCTATCAAGTGTCTACCAGATGTTGACTCGTCCTCAATCTCTATCAGGTCAAGTGAATATTACGTCTCAATTACATGCAATAATAATGATTATAATGAGACGCCAGATTGTCACCGGACATAAGCCAGTAAACCAAAAATATATTCCCTTACAGGCACCATACTAATCCGATCTCAGGTTGTATAGCTGTTCCACATAAGCCAGTATTATAAAAACACATGCCACCAAAGTCGCATGTATGGCAGGTCGCATTCCTCTGCCATTATAGGTCGCATACCAGTCCCAGTAATACCAGTTAGCATTCCATGGTTACGTTCCACAGGGGCTATACCCATTCGCCCACGAAGCGACGTTCGTCATATTCTCGGGGTCGACGTTATCACCCGTACAAAGCGCCAACATTGGTAACGTTCAGAACCAATTCCACAGGGGCTATACCCATTCGCCCACGAAGCGACGTTTGCCATTTTCTCGGGGTCGACGTTAACACCCGTACAAAGCGCCAACTTTGGTAACGTTCAGAACCCAGCATTCGTCTCAAGTTCGATGGCTGAGTTCCCTCAGCCATATTCCACCCTGGACCGCTTCAAGAACGTCTTCTTCACCCTCGCCAACTCCATCGCCTTTCGCTATGTTCTGCCTTACGCGGTACAAAAATCGGTGAGACAAAGACACTTAGTGGCGTTTAAGTCGCAATTGCATCAAATTTTACGAATATATTTATAAATAAGTATTTATTTATGTATAAGATATATAAATAAGTNTATAAGAGACAGCCCCAACCCCTCCCGCAGGTACACATTTACACGGCCATTAAGTATTTGTTTTCATTGTATACACATATGGAAGACCATTAGAATTTTTTTTCCAAAATCTAACTTCTTCTAAGTTTCTTTGATTGCTAATCAATGAATAATTTCCTTTCGTGATTCATCTTTCTCTCACAAGTTTTCAATCCTCAGTCTTGTTTATATAACAGAATCAGTGTCAAAACATTTAGGTTTTTTCGGTCCATAATTTTTAAACTTATATCCTTGCATAACTAAAGATTTTTTTGCAAATCTCTCATCCCACAAGTTGTTTGCGGAATTTATATTGCTTCGAACATCTAAAAAATTCGTAATTAAGGCTTTCTAAAGTTCCCTGAAAATTCAAAAAGGTTCATAATGCTTTTCTAGCATCTAATTTATATCCGTTGAAATTGAAACTGGATAAAAAACACCTAAAGCCAACTTATTCACTCAAACACAACCGAAACTCGTATATTGTTGTCGCATTTTCATTACATTGAAACTGTCTGACGGAAACAAGTTGAATTATTGCCTGAATTTCCTACTCTGCCGGCCAACATCACTCAGAAAATAACTGGTTACAGCTTGTCCAAATTGTGTCATACTATCTTACCCACAGCATGAGCAAAGAGTACACGTAGCACTGATACGCCCTTTTGCCGGGCAAAACCGGGTCACGATGACCCACACAAGCTAAAAATTTAGAGTGCCACAGGCCAATCCCAACCCAGTGAAAATTTACAGACGCGGCAGCTTCTGATTTGGATTACCAGAAGCTGATGTTCAGGTGACGATGTTGAGCGAGCCCCGATGGACACAACGTCACCCCAACATCACGTATGTGGACCATGGGACAACCCTCACGTCACCTGACATGTTATCCACTTTTGACTGCGCCTTTGACCCAGCTAAACTCCTCGACCTCATCATGACTAACCTCGAGGAATTGTCCAATGACCTCTTCGACGACCCCATCGTCCAGGACCTTTACGCAAAGAGAAAGCAGTTTGACATCATCGTCTTTGACCAGATGATGTTCATGGTGAGTCATTCTTGTGGCATCATGTTCATTGTAAGTTCATTGTTCTAATACTTGACCATTAACAATGGTTATCAATCAACCATTAACAAGGTATTAATATAACCAACCAGCATTGTGGAGCTTGGCGGACAATGCTGGGCACTGGATTATACAAACAAAATATGATGTTATGATTGGTAAAAGTAAATTCCTCGGCCTGTTGTGGCGAGGGCAAACCGCACTAGCTCCGACCCAGTGAAAATTTGCGGACGCGGCAGCTTCTGATTTGGATTACCAGAAGCTGGGGCGACTCTAAATTTTGTTAAGGGAACGGCGTGGAGCCGACATAACAGGCACGTATCGGGCATATAACCGGCACGTAGCCAACGTGCATTCGGCACGTATTACCGGGCGCGTAGCCAGCACGTGTTAGGCATGTCCCCAGCACATAAGTGGTACTTTATATGCATGTAACAAGCACATAACCGGTACGTAATAGGCCTGTGACAAGCCATAACCGGTTTGTAACAAGCCTTAATCGGTACGTAACCAGCACATAATTGGTTAGTAACCAGCACATAAGCGGTACGTATCAAGCACCCAACCGGCACGTAAACGGAACGTAACCGGCACGTAAACGGCACTTGACTTGACGCGAAATTAGGCTCGTCGATTGCTTCAAACTACCCATGGAGACAGATTTCGGAGCTGGAGTCTGCGCTGATTAAGGAAGCAAAGCAGATGTACACTAGAGTCATCATTTATATCTGCCTTATATCACCTTAGGCTGGGTGGCCCAGTGGTTAAAGTTCAGAGTACCAAGATTGGCGCAGAGAGGCGCGGGTTCGATCCCAGCTCTGTGCGCCAGTTTCTGGTCAGAATCGGCAAGGAGGCCGGGCGGTTAATTAAGCACAGCAGAATTGTAGCAGTGAGTTGCGAGTTCGAGACCGCAACATGCTGTGGATGTTCTGCGATGTTAAGAATCGGAGACAGGCCTACGGCCTAATAAACGCTGAAACCGCTATTATTATTATTAGTATTATTATATACCCCACAGGCGCCGTAAGCAATCATATACTATAACCATGTAATACACGTACTATGTACTATGTAAATCTCTTTTCACCAAGCAAGTGACGTTGAATCAATGTTTAATCAACCTTATTTCAAAGTCAGATACCTGATGGGTGTCCGGTTTGTATTAAAATATTCCAGTTATATCATTTAGAACATTCCATTGCTAAATTCCACCACATTTGCTGCAATTGTCCGATTGCAGGTCGAATACCTGTTCTATATTAAGCCGATTCCTAATATAATAAATAATAAATTGTATATATGTTATATGTAATATATATAAAATATATATAAAAGACAATATAATATATTGTTTTTTATATAAGTGTCAGAGCTCATTGTGTTAAGCTCTACCTGAGGAGCGGGTTCGTTGACTAAAGTAGTGAGGGATAAGTAAGACTCATGTGTCTGATAACTTATCTTGTATATGGGGAGGTAATACAGGAGTACGATACAGAGGTATAAGCTACGGCGTCGACCGTAAGGTCGGAGAGCCGAACGACACGTTACATCGGGGAGCGCTTATCGACTGCAAGTGGTTTTCGGGATTTTAAAGCCAAATCCATGGTTTAAAAACCATGGAATAAGGGTTTTTCGGGTGTTTTAAAGCCAAACCCATGCATGGTTTTAAAACCACAGAATAAGTGTTTTTCGTGGCTTTAAAGCCAAACCCATGGTTTTAAAACCATACTAGAATAAGGGTTTTTCGGGGTTTTAAAGCCAAACCCATGGTTTTAAAACCATACTTACTTAAGGTTGCTAGCCCTTATATAGCTTTCGCTTCCGCCCACAACTAAGGTCTTGATCGCGTGATCTATCACGTGTCTACCAGATGTTGGCTCGTCCTCAATCTCTGTCAGGTACAGTGAATATTACGCCTTAATTACATACAATAATAATGATTATAATGAGACGCCAGATTGACACCGGACATAAGCCAGTATACCATAACTACATTCCCTTACAGGCACCATACTAATCCGATCTCAGGTTGTATAGCTGTTCCACATACGTAAGCCAGTATTATGCAGACACATGACACCAAAGTCGCATGTATGGCAGGACGCATTCCTCTGCCATTAAAGGTCGCATACCAGTCCCAGTAATACCAGTTAGCATTCCATGGTTACATTCCACAGGGGCTATACCCATTCGCCCACGAAGTGACGTTCGTCATTTTCTCGGGGTCGACGTTATCACCCGTACAAAGCGCCAACTTTGGTAACGTTCAGAACCCATTCCACAGGGGCTCTACCCATTCGCCCACGAAGCGACGTTCGCCATATTCTCTGGGTCGACGTTAACACCTGTACAAAGCGCCAACTTTGGTAACGTTCAGAACCCAGCATTCGTCTCAAGTTCGATGGCTGAGTTCCCTCAGCCGTATTCCACCCTGGACCGCTTCAAGAACGTCTTCTTCACCCTCGCCAACTCCATCGCCTTTCGCTACGTTCTGCCTTACGCGGTACAAAAATCGGTGAGACAAAGACACTCAATTTTGTTTCAGTCGCAATTGCATTCAATTTTACGAATATATTTATAAATAATAAAATACTGGTCAGCAATGTGATGATTTGCTGGTCATACTGATAGCCATACTGAAATGTCGAAGCTTTTGAAATCTCAGCAGATAGTTAGCATTCAACTCATTTCATAAATCTTATAAATCTAACAGTTGCTAAAAGTCTATAAGTTGCTAATTGATAGCAGCGGAAATCAATGGCATGTCTGTTGACCTTAATCACTCCGGTATTTGGCATTTATCAGCCAGGTATTTGGCACTAATCACCAAAGTGGTTGACCCTAATTAAGGAAAATGATTAGAGGCTAATTGACCCTCGCACCTGCCATCGTTAATCAATTTCAGAGACACTTCCTTAATCAGTCCTCGTTAATCAGTTATAGAGACGCTTCCCTCACCTACCCTCGTTAATCAGTTACAGAGACGCTTCCTCACCTACCCTCGTTAATCAGTTACAGAGACACTTCCTCACCTACCCTCGTTAATCAGTTACAGAGACACTTCCTCACCTACCCTTGTTAATCAGTTACAGAGACGCTTCCCTCACCTACCCTCGTTAATCAGTTACAGAGACGCTTCCCTNTGGCTTGTAAGAGCCTTGCAGGAGTGGCTTGAGAGTCAGTGGATCGTGGCTTGGAAGAGCCATTGCAGGAGTGGCTTAAGAGTATCAGTGGATCGTGGCTTGGAAGAGCCATTGCAGGAGTGGCTTAAGAGTATCAGTGGATCGTGGCTTGGAAGAGCCATTGCAGGAGTAGCTTAAGAGTATCAGTGGATCGTGGCTTGGAAGAGCCATTGCAGGAGTGGCTTGAGAGTATCAGTGGATCGTGGCTTGGAAGAGCCATGGCAGGAGTGGCTTAAGAGTATCAGTGGATCGTGGCTTGGAAGAGCCATTGCAGGAGTGGCTTAAGAGTATCAGTGGATAGTGGCTTGGAAGAGCCATTGCAGAAGTGGCTTGAGTATCAGTGGATAGTGGCTTGGAAGAGCCATGGCAGGAGTGGCTTAAGAGTATCAGTGGATAGTGGCTTGCAAGAGCCATTGCAGGAGTGGCTTAAGAGTATCAGTGGATAGTGGCTTGGAAGAGCCTTTGCAGGAGTGGCTTGAGTGTCAGTGGATAGTGGCTTGTAAGAGCCATGCAGGAGTGGCTTAAGAGTATCAGTGGATAGTGGCTTGTAAGAGCCTTGCAGGAGTGGCTTGAGAGTCAGTGGATAGTGGCTTGGAAGAGCCATTGCAGGAGTGGCTTAAAAGTATCAGTTGATCGTGGCTTAAAAGAGCCATTTTATAAGTTGCTACAGAGACAAATTGTAGCTTAGGCATAGAACAGCCATTATAAAGCGGTCTTACACTCATTATAAATGCAAGACATCGCGGTCACTCCAAAATCCCGATCCTTATTGCCATCGATCCTTATTGCCA